AATGAAATCGACTTAAATCATCATTTGTGATTCACCCACTCTGTGTTGATCAGTCGGTGCTTTGTTCTGTAAATCTGTGCAGGAAGTAAATGTATTTTAAGATCCACCAACCATAAACAGAACAGAGGATTTTGTATTGATTATGTTTCATTCATATTGATGCTGTGACTCCCCCACTGGAGCTGAAAGTAAGTTATTAATCTCTCTTCTAGTATTTCAGCATCCCAGCACTGCAGCGGTGTATCTTTGATAAAAGGAGATGTTTTAAAACTAAAACAAACCGTGTTAATATCCCAAAAGATAATCATTTTTTTATTAAGGACTTTTCTACATTTCCTTTTTCTTATTTTGTGAATAGTTGTGCTACTATGTTTTGTTTATGTTGTCCAGTCGGGTCTGGTTAGCTTCCACGTCGTCTGACAGAATATAAACACACACGTATGTCGGCAGATGTTTCCGTCTTCTGAACTCGTCTCTGTGTGTGTCTGCAGGTGTATCACCTGGCCAGTGTGCGTCTGAGGGATTTGTGTGTGAAGTTGGACATCCCGTCGGAGCTGCGAGGGAAGATCTGGACGTGCTTTGAACACGTTCTGGTTCACTGTACCGATCTGATGCGGGACAGACACCTGGACCAGCTGCTGCTGTGCAGCGTTTACATTATATCTAAAGTGAGGAGACAAGTTTGTTCACCAAGTGCTTCATATTTAATTAAGAAAAAACTGGCGACTATGGTTTAGGGATGCAGTGTTGCCTCACAGGTAAATATGTTTCTGGCAGCGTAACAGTTTAATTTGTAAATCCATATTTTGGCCTTGGAGAGAAATATGTTTCTGGCAGCTGCTCTGAAAAACCTGAGTGGCTGCCAGAGAAACTCTACTCACAAAATCCTTGGCTCAAGTATCTTTAAATTCTCTCTTACATTTGTATGCACTTATGAAGGTGCTGCTTCTACCTGTAGTGTGGTCATTCAACAGAACAGCAGAATACGCAGCAGTTATTCATAGATGCCACCTACGTC